AGGGGGGTCCTGTATGTTTTCTGTGGTCATGTGCCTTGTAAAGTCCCTCCTGTAGATTATACACAGAATTATGTTATTACACAGATCTCAGACATGTGCTTACTTGCGCAGCTCTCTTTGGGATATGAGCATTTTATAAGCTCTCATTATATTTTTCACATGACAGAAACAGAAATGTTAAACAAGACTTAATCTGTCCAACACATGAAAGGTCCTCTGCGCTACCTTCAGATGTAAGACAGGCTGCTTGCTGCTGACACTGATTGTGTATTCACCACAAACCGCTAACATAAAACAAAAAATGACATACTGCAACGCATGTAATGTGACAATAAACTCAATAAAACTTCACTGTATCTCATTTTACTTAACCCCCTCACAGAACTGGGCTTTTTTCCGCGGGGCTGCATATTTGTGTACCTATCTTTCTGCTGGGTGCAAGCTGCACGGCGCGCTCTCAGCACAAGGACTGTGATGTCACTGAGAGCACCGGGGTCCTGTTATAACGATCGGGACCCGAGACTCCTGATTCTGGGTCACATGATTGCTGTGATAGCCTCTGATTTGCTATCACAGTGATCAGTCACTGTACAGCCCGGCCCCCTTGTTTCTTTCTCTCTATGAATGGAGGAGATAGATACATTGTATCTTTCTAACTCCTGGCATACAGGGGGAAAAAAATGTTTGTAAAAAAAAAAATTAAATATTAAAAATTTACAGAAAAAAATACCTAGATCAAGGTTTGATCTAGTTAAGTGCCAGGGTTAGTGTTTGGGTCAGATCAAAAGGTCAGGATTTAAAACAAATTTGGTGTCAGTGTGTTTTAGGTAAAAAAAAGACAAAAACAAAATGTGCACTATTATTTCTGGGCTGTACTACGGGTACAAATAATATATTAACATATGCATATATGGTATCGCTGTGATCGTCAAGAGCTGGAGAATTTATTTTGGGTTGTTTTTTGGTGGTAGGTTATGGTAGTAACAAACGCACAGCTAAATTTAAAAAAAAAAAAAAAAAGGTTTTTTTTTTTTTTTTTTTTTTTTTTTACTATTTTGGGCCAGTTTTCCTTTGATAATAAAACAAAATCAGGAGATATCTATTACCATTTACCACCAAATGAAAGCCAAATGAAATTTGTCCTGAAAAAACAAGGTATAATTCACCTGGATGCACATAGTAGTTGTGATGATATGTACGGTTTCACTAACGCTTGTCAACATTGCAAAATTGTGCTTAGGCATTTAGATTTTGTTTTATCCTTAGGCGTGAAGGTGTTAAAACACTTCCAGTTCGGGCCAATTCTGGCATTCCTTTCCTACATGTAAAAAAATAAAATAATTTTTTTTGCTAGAAAATGACTTAAACCCCCAAACATTATTTATATTTTTTAGCATTAAATACACTTTGATGGATTTTATTGCACAGAAACACAATATAACATCCAATTGTTTGGTAGAATATAAAAGATGATGTTATGCCAAGTAAATAGATACCAAACATTATTATTATTATACAGGATTTATATAGTGCTAACAGTTTGCTCAGCGCTTTACAATATAGAGGGAGATATAATACAGGAACAATACAGTTCAATACAAGAGGGTTGGGAGGTCTTGGAGCTTACAATCTAAGAGATGTCATGCTTTAATATTCTTTGGCAATTAAAGATCTGCTCTTTGTTTTGTTTTATCTTTAAACCTCACTAAAGTAAAACCTGTCACAAACCTGGATGGGTTTTACTCTGCGTATAATGACAAATGAATTCCCTTAAGTAAGAACCATGTTGCAAAAATGAGTAGATCTAGAGACATAGGCTGCTGAAGTGATATGCTGAGCTCAGAACCTTTTTCAGTCTCAATGTTCCTAAATATAATGGACCACACCATTGACTTAAAGGAAGGTAGAAGGCAGTTGAAACCATTAGTAGGACAAGACATAATTTGCATACAGCTTTAGTTGCTTTAATGTCTGGAACTGATTGGAGTCAGTTGTCCTGACAAACTATTTTCACTCCAGGACATGGTTAGGTTAACTCGGGTGTCGGCAACCCGCGGCTCCGGAGCCGCATGGGGCTCTTTTTCACCTTTCCTGCGGCTCCGGAGCACACTGCCCACCAGGTGACAGGCAATAGGGTCGGCAAGCCGCGGCTCTTTTAATGCAGCTCTTCTGTGTGCCGGGCGCCCGCTGGCAAACATTGGCTGTCAGGATGTAGGCGGGGCAGCCCGGATGTAGGCGGGGCAGCGTGACGAACTCCTCTCCTCTCACAGTCCGCCCTGAAGACCAGAACGGCGCGGGAACCCAGCGAGAGGAACGCGCGGAGCAAAGGTAAGTGAATTCACACAATATGGGGAATGAATTACTATAGGGGGGATGAATTACTATAGGGGGGATGAATTACTATAGGGGGGATGAATTACTATAGGGGGGATGAATTACTATAGGGGGGATGAATTACTATAGGGGGGATGAATTACTATAGGGGGGATGAATTACTATATGGGGGATGAATTACTATATGGGGGATGAATTACTATGGGGGATGAATTACTATATGGGGGATGAATTACTATATGGGGGATGTATTTTCAGTTTTAAAAATGTTTCTCTCAAAATAAATTTCAATCGTGGTTTTGGCGAGATTTGGCTCAGTCGAAAAAAAAGGTTGCCCACCACTGACCTAAGGCTATGATTGTGATTATGACGATACACTGTGGCCCTGATTAACCCTTTGCTTACTGGGCCCTTAAACCCCCTTCATGACCAGAGCGTTTTTTGCAATATATGCAGTGTCGGATTTGTTTTAAATGTTGCAATGGTTTTGCGGCTCCCAGTCTTTTTTTTCCCTCTCGGAAACGGGTCCAAGTGGCTCTTTATGTCTTAAAGGTTGCAGACCCCTGGGTTAACTCATCCAGCAGTAATGTGTATACTGCACATGTGGTGGATGGCTTGTTCCCCATTCTCCATAGAAAAGGGAAAGATCAGGGTTCAGCTGCATACTTTAATCATTGTTTCCCATGCTTAGGAACTATTGCTGTCTCTGTGATATAAACCAATAACAGAGCAATAGTCCCAAACTATTTTAGAAATTTTTACATTACTTGCAAAATCAGACCATAGACACTCTCAGAGACCAGAAAATATCTGTAGTGAAGGAATTTCCTGGTTTTATGTTCTAGCTTAGGAACTTTTTTTTTTTTTTATCTCTATAGTTGCCATTTTATTGACCAGTTCATTTGTTTAAAAAGAACAACACACTGTATTTCATGTCATACAGTCAGGTCCATAAATATTGGGACATCGACACAATTCTAACATTTTTAGCTCTATACACCACCACAATGGATTCGAAATGAAACAAACAAGATGTGCTTTAACTGCAGACTGTCAGCTTTAATTTGAGGGTATTTACATCCAAATCAGGTGAACGGTGTAGGAATTACAACTGTTTGCATATGTGCCTCCCACTTGTTAAGGGACCAAAAATAATGGGACAATTGGCTTCTCAGCTGTTCCATGGCCAGGTGTGTGTTCTTCCCTCATTATCCCAATTACAATGAGCAGATAAAAGGTCCAGAGTTCATTTCAAGTGTACTATTTGCATTTGGAGTCTGTTGCTGTCAACTCTCAAGATGAGATCCAAAGAGCTGTCACTATCAGTGAAGCAAGCCATCATTAGGCTGAAAAAACAAAAAAAACCCATCAGAGAGATAGCAAAAACATTAGGCGTGGCCAAAACAACTGTTTGGAACATTCTTAAAAAGAAGGAACGCACCGGTGAGCTCAGCAACACCAAAAGACCCGGAAGACCACGGAATACAACTGTGGTGGATGACCGAAGAATTCTTTCCCTGGTGAAGAAAACACCCTTCACAACAGTTGGCCGGGTCAAGAACACTCTCCAGGAGGTAGGTGTATGTGTGTCAAAGTCAACAATCAAGAGAAGACTTCACCAGAGTGAATACAGAGGGTTCACCACAATGTAAACCATTGGTGAGCCTCAAAAACAGGAAGGCCAGATTAGAGTTTGCCAAACGACATCTAAAAAAGCCTTCACAGTTCTGGAACAACATCCTATGGACAGATGAGACCAAGATCAACTTGTACCAGAGTGATGGGAAGAGAAGAGTATGGAGAAGGAAAGGAACTGCTCATGATCCTAAGCATACCACCTCATCAGTGAAGCATGGTGGTGGTAGTGTCATGGCGTGGGCATGTATGGCTGCCAACGGAACTGGTTCTCTTGTATTTATTGATGATGTGACTGCTGACAAAAGCAGCAGGATGAATTCTGAAGTGTTTCAGGCAATATTATCTGCTCATATTCAGCCAAATGCTTCAGAACTCATTGGACGCCGCTTCACAGTGCAGATGGACAATGACCCAAAGCATACTGCAAAAGCAACCAAAGAGTTTAAGGGAAAGAAGTGGAATGTTATGTAATGGCCAAGGCAATCACCTGACCTGAATCCGATTGAGCATGCATTTCACTTGCTGAAGACAAAACTGAAGGGAAAATGCCCCAAGAACAAGCAGGAACTGAAGACAGTTGCAGTAGAGGCCTGGCAGAGCATCACCAGGGATGAAACCCAGCGTCTGGTGATGTCTATGTGTTCCAGACTTCAGGCTGTAATCGACTGCAAAGGATTTGCAACCAAGTATTAAAAAGTGAAAGTTTGATTTATGATTATTATTCTGTCCCATTACTTTTGGTCCCTTAACAAGTGGGAGGCACATATGCAAACAGTTGTAATTCCTACACCGTTCACCTGATTTGGATGTAAATACCCTCAAATTAAAGCTGACAGTCTGCAGTTAAAGCACATCTTGTTTGTTTCATTTCAAATCCATTGTGGTGGTGTATAGAGCCAAAAATGTTAGAATTGTCCCAATATTTATGGACCTGACTGTATTTACTGCTCAAAGTTGTGGACATTTTTTTTTCTTTCTGTTTCCTTTATTATATTTATGATTTGTTTCCCTTTTTATGTCTTTTTCAGGGCTTGAAAAGACTAATGACAATTTGCCAGAAGCATTTTTCAACTGATCCTTCAAAGTGTGTGGAATACAACGCATTATAGAGACATTGATTTCTCAGTTTTTACCACGTATTCAGGTTTTCAGATACAGCAACTGCCTAACCAGCTCTGATGGATGGATTTCTGTTTTATAGAGATGCCTCCTATCTTAAGTCTTGAGATAATTATTCAGTAACACACCTTAATGTCCTGCTATTATTAATATAATAACAGTTATGTCATGTATGTATTTGCTTTTACTTTGTGAAGTTTGTATATACAATAAACACAAGTATTCAACTCAAATATTTATTTCTTTTAATGGTTAGGCTGGAGAATGGTGTGGTTTATTATACATTACTGTATTGTTCAGAATGCCCTTTATTACAGGACAGGGGGAAGATATTCCAAAATACTACATAGAGAGTTTTTGTCAAGATGCACATATTGTATAAAATATATCTAGCCCTAAAAACAAACATTTCATATATTGCAGATTTAATGGCCTTAAATGGCGTGGCTGCATTAGTTTAGTCTTTTTAACCGCTTCCCATCCGCCCTATAGCAGAAGTACTGCTACAGGGCGGCACAGGTGCGCAAAATCATGTGTATACATATACGCAATTTTGCAGTTCCGGGTACCAGGCGTGCCCTACCCGCGCTGCCATTCACAGCCTCGGCTGTCAATCACCGGGTCCCGGCCAGTGATTACTCGCTGCTGCTTGCTGAGCATCTCTGATGGGGGGGAGAACTGTTTGGAAATAATACAGTTCTCTCCCCTGTCAGCTGCAGCACACTGCTTTGCATGGCTGTACATAGCACAGCCATGCAAAGCAGTATGCTTACAGTGAAGCACAGACAGGACACAATGTAAAATGGCACACAGTTAAACCTTTGATCGCCCCACATGTTAACACCTTCCTGCCCAATGCCATTAGCAAAGTGTCAGTGCTATATCAGCACTGATTGGTGTCACTGAGGATGTCAGTGACATCATCAGTTTTCCCCAGTGTCAGAATGCACGCCACAGTCCCGCTATAAGTTGCTGATCGCCGCCATTACTAGTAAAAAAAAAAAAAAAAAAAAAAAAATCCCAGTGTATATATACCTCCATTTGTAAACGCTATAACTTTCACGTAAACCAATTAACACGTATTTGGATTTTTTTTTAATAAAGACATGTAGCAGAATACATTTTGGCCTAAATTTATGACAAAGTTTGATTTTTACATTTTTTTTTTACTGTACATGTTTAATATTATTATTATTATACAGGATTTATATAGCACCAACAATTTGCGCAGCGCTTTACAATATAAGGGAGACAGTACAATTACAATACATTTCAGTACAGGAGTATGAGGGCCCTACTTGTGGAGCTTACAATCTAAAGGAAGGGGGAGGTGATACAAAAGGTGATAGCTGCGGGGGATGATCTGGAGGAGGTGATTCAAGTACAGTTCTTAGGTGGAGGTGGGGTAGGCTTCCCTGAATAAGTGAGTTTTCAAAGATCACCTAAAGGCAGACAGGGTGGGGGCTGACCGGACATACTGTGGTAGGGAGTTCCAGAGGATGGGAGAGGCTCTGCAGAAGTCCTGGAGGCGAGCGTGGGAGGAGGTGATGAGGAAGCTACAGAGGAAGATATCTTGGGAGGAGCTGAGTGGGCGTTTTGGGCAATATCTGTGGATGAGGTTGGCAATGTAGCTAGGGCCAGTGTTGTGAATGGCTTTGTAAGCAAATAGCAAAAACTCAAAAATATTGTTTTTTTTTTTCTCAAAATTGACTGTCTTTCTTTTTATAGAGCAAAAAATAAAAACCGCACAGGCGAGCAAATACCACCAAAAGAAATCTCTATTTGCGGGGGGGAAAAGGGATATAAATTTCATTTGGGTGCAGCGTTGCATGACCACGCAATTGTGAGTTAAAGTAACACAGTGCCTTAACGCAAAAAAATGGCCTGGTCAGGAAGGGGGTAAATCCTCTGGACGGCAAGTGGTTAAGGAATAGTACGGTGTCTTCAAGTTTGGAACGATATCTGTTTTATCCTGTATGGAATCTTGCGTCCTTGTTAATTCCAAAGGACTAAAGCTTTGAGCTTTGTCACTACAGGATAGGAAGTGTGTCATTGGCAAATTCACCAGGTGAAGATAAATGTAAAATAGTGCCTAAAAAAAGAAAACAAATGCAGCCACCATATTTCAAGCTGGAGCATATTACATTTTTGTTCTGGGGCTTAGATATGTTTTAAAGTGTTAAGTCAAAGCCTTACTTGTTTGTCTTAGAGGAAGTAGGGAAGTGTTACAACCACTATCACTTTTTTTTTTTTTTTTTGCTGTCTGTGTCCAACTGGGGAATTTACCCGATTTCCTGTTATGGAGACCCAACAGAAACTTAGAGAAAAAATTCTCCTAAGTGAATGGAATTTCTAGTTTAGAGAGTTGCTAAAGGAGCAAGTGTTCCATTTGAAGGATGTATCCCCCCTTTAGCTCTGATGACATTTCAAGGTTTTATGATTTCTTCTTACTTTCTGTTTCAGTGATAGTGGCCATTTTAAAAATACAGAGTTTGGAATCTCCCTAGCAGATAAACAGACAAAAAGACAAACTTCATATCAGGTCCCACCCTTCCCTACTACAAACAAAAAAACTCCGGATCGGTGGGTATTTCATGGGCATTTTGGCATCAAGCCTCTCTTGCCCAGTTTTGCAAGGCTTGGTCCTTGGTTCATACTGTCTCCAAATTCTACCAAGCCGATATCCACATTTCTGTGGATGCAGCTTTAGGCCACAAGGTTCTTGCAGCAGCACTCTGAGTTGAGCCTTGTTATTGTTGGGCCAATTGGTACAGTTCTTTTTTGCCTTGTTGTTGCTGCCCACCCTTCCTTTTTGTTTGCTGATTTCTCATATCTTGGAGTATAATGCAGTACACCCTCTCCTCCACTGTTGTGTTACTCTGTATTGCTTGCTAAAAACTGAGTTCTCTCAGTGTGGGGCTGAGTTATAGGGATACATCCAGGGAAGTTTTGCCAATATCTAATCGTCTGAAGGTATGAGTCCATAACCCAGGGTCTATGAATATTAAGCCTGTAACCTGTACTGTAATCTAGGATTTGGAATTTACAGCTCAAAATTCATTTTTATTTTTTTTTATGTTCCCTATAACAAATCTTCAGGCAATGTTTAACAGAAATGACTCCAGACTTACTGTTGCATTTGATATGAAAATAATGCCATATAAATACATTCCATAGAATTCATAAAGACTGGTGTTTTAAAAGTGGGGCAGCATGCACCAAATTCATGTACCTGTCTTGAACTTTTACTTGAATTTGGCGCATGCTGCACCACTTTTACAATTTTTTTAATATTCTACAGAATTTATATAGCACCAACAGTTTGAACAGCATTTTACAACATTAGGACAGATATTACAGTTACAATACAATTTAATACAGGAGTAAACACGGCACTGCTCGTTAGCTCTTACAATCTAAAAGGGAGGGTCAAGTGATACAAAAGGTCATAACTGTGGGGGAGAGCTGATGGAGAAAGTGGAGATACAGATGTTAGGTGGGGGGCGGGATGGGCTTCTCTGAAGTGAAGGGTTTTCAGGGATTGCCTAAAAGTGGAGAGAGTAGGTGAGAGTCGGACAAATTGGGGTAGGGGGTTCCTTAAGATGGGAGAGGCTCGGGAAAAGTCCTGGAGGCAAGCATGGGAGGAGGTGACAAGGAAGCTAGAGAACAACAGGTCTTGCGAGGAACGAAGAGAAGACGTTATTGGTATTTTGAGACTAGGTTAGTGATGTAGCTGGGGGCCAAGTGTATCACATTGTAAGTTATTGTTAGTATTTTGAATTGAATTTGTTGGGTGAGCGGCAGCCAGTGGAGGGATTGGCAGAGAGGTGTAGCAGACACTAAATGGTGGTAAGATGGATGATGGACTAAAGGGGGTATAGCCTATGTAAAGGTACTCCAATGAGGAGGGAGTTATTGCTGTAGAGGAGGCAAGAGAGAACCAGTGAGTGAATTAGAAGTTTTGTAGTGTCACTAGTTAGGAAGGGGTGTATTTTGGAGATGCTGTGGAGGTTGAGACAGCAAGCTTTGGAAAGCGATTGGATGTTGGGCCGAAAGGACAGTTCAGAGTGCAGGATTACACCAAGGACCCTGGTATTCAGGAACGGGTTGATAGTTTTTCCATTGATCTTGACAGAGAAGGGGATGTGCGGGAGGAAATATTATGTGTTCAGTTTTTGGATAGATTGAGTTTGAGGAAGTGGTGTCCTATTCAGACTGATATGTCGGTCCGTTAGAATGCACATGAGGCACTTTAGGTAAAATTTATCTGCGCCAGTTTCTCTCTCTGTACAGCAAAAGAGAATTGGTCTTAATTCAACTTTACTAATATGCGAACTGTCTGTAGTTTATTTTTTCATTTGACGCATTCATTGCACCAAAATGTAAAAGTGGCTCATTTTATAACTACCTGAATTTGGTGCACAAGACGCAGTCAGAACTAAAAGTGTCATGGATGCTTCATGAATTTGGTGCAATACATTAACAAAAGGGATTAATGCCAGAAGAGTGGTGCAGCAGCTTTATTCCCCAAATTCCTGTGTTTTAAGAAGGCTCTGCTTTAATACAAATCACTATAGAATGCTGTTTGCTTATATGCAACCTTGCATATGTACATAACATATTTTAAGAATTTGCTTGTGTTTCCAGTGATATTTTATGCTGCAACATAGACTGCCAGCTTTTACAGAAAAGGCAAGAAAGGTATTTTAGAATTAATGTCCACTGGCAGGTGTGTATCAGTGATGCCAAAATATTGCTATCGGGCTTGAAATTCATTTTTGTATGTTTTTTTTTGTCTTCTTTCATAAACTGTAATATGACCTCCATTGTTTCCTTTGTATATTCCCCCCCCCCCCCCCCCCACTCCCCCACAAAGTTTTTATTCCTCATTTAAGGAATTGTGTTACAAACATGCAAAATAATTCCCTATGTGAATCTGTGTAAACTAGAAACAGTTGTGTTCAGGGCAAAGTAACAGTGCCTCTGTACC